CTCTCTCGTGTGCGACACTCGCAGCGAACGTGTGTCAAGGATGAGCTAGTTGGGACATTCGAACTGTGTGAGTGGACCGGAACATGCTGCTGCTGTCAACAGGGAGATTGTGAGTGGAGTGCCTGTGTGGTAGACAGTCAACCATTCCCTCTACTCGAGCTGATTGGCCAACCAAGTCTTCTCACAACGGTGTAATCAGTTATTTCGCTATCATGATTGAGCAATCGGGAATAGCCGCAGGAGGACGAACCAATTAAGTTTTCGCAGGTCGGTCAATTGGGCGAGTTCAGCTGGTCAGCCAATCTCGCTGTTCGGGCAATCAAGCTTTCCAGCCGCTGGCCGGACCAATCATCCTTTTGTGACAAGTGAATGATCAAACCTTCCGTCGCGAGCAAGCCAGAGGAATCACTTTCATTGATTTGTCAAACGGGCGAGTTACTTTGATCGGCCAAACAAAGCTGTTATTGATCAGAAAACCATCCATTTTCATATCACGCCACCGGTTGGGCTTCTTATACTTCACTGCCAGGATCGGTTATTCGTTATGATGGGTGCGACAACTGCTATCGTGGCACTTCTGAGACAGAGAAAGAGGTAAGAGTTAAGGACTTGGGCTGCAACGCAGGTCTGGTTGGTCCTTTCCGGGTTCCTGTATGTAACTTACCCAGACAAGGGGAGCGGGGCCGACGCGTATGGGTAAACCACTTGATTATTTTAGATTCATTTGATCATAATCTCAACCGCAAACAACTGTATAGTGAGGATGAAGGGTTGGACTTGGGTTCGGAGGGAGAAGCAGAGAGAGGGTGAGGATGAGAGCTCATACTGAAGGAAACCGAGAGGAAGAAAGAGAGATGGATTACCTTGCAAGTGCGCGGTAGGAGGGCACTCGTGCGGTGTTTCCCTGGTCGACTTAATCACTCACCTTTGGTTGTGTGCAGGATACTCAAAGCTTGACAATTATCTTGTCGAATAAGAAACGGGTCTTTTGGGTCTGTTGCTGGGAAAATTTCGGGTCCGAGCATCAGTAGAACGCCCTGTTGTTCTCGAGAGCCATGTCCGTTCAAGGAACCGCTCGTCGTTTTGCTGCAAACAATGTCTTTCCTGCCTTCTGCTCACCTAGTTTATTTGAAACCCCTTTTGCCCTTCTGCTAAAAACAGTGGCGTGGAAGGACTGAACAACGATCCAGTCGAGGGTCATCAGAGAGAGAAAGTCAGAAAAGAGGGCGAGAGAAAGAGAAAGAGGAAAAGAGGGAGTTAGAGAGTGAGGACAAAGTGAAGCAAATACAAGCCAGGCTAGTGACGCACAGCGTGAGAAAGAGAGAGAGAGCGAGGGAGGAAAAAAGAGAAAGAGCTCGTATCGGGAAAAGGAGGAAGAGAAGGGGGTTGTCGTCGAAATGGCCGCACTGAAGATCCTGGAGTTGTCCCGTGGAACAGATCAGAGAGCTACAAGAGAGTTACGATAGGGGTACCACAACCCGGGTTACCTGATAGACCCACGGCTACAGTGAAGGGGAAATAAGTGATGAATGAGACTGGACTGTTGAAATTGCCCCTGAATTACCCTATTGATTGATTGCCTAACATTTTACTCTTGCTATCAAACTCGTGTGTGAGGGATAAAGTGCCTTGGGACAGTTTGAGCTGGTGATTTGAGTTTGTAAAAGAAAAGGAAAGATACTCTGACCTAGTGACGGTGTAAAGACCTCCCGTGAGTAGGGAGTTTGACAGGCGGGACAAGCACTAATACCCTGCTGGTCGCTGAGAACCTCTGAAGCGGGCGCGGCGAGGTGACAGGCGTCGTGGCCCCTAGCTTCATCGAACCGCAGGCGACCCCTCCCCGGATTTCCTCACAACGTGCGGATCTCTCTAATCGATCAACAATGTCTCTACGTGCCACTTACCGTACGATAAGAGTGTGGAAGTCATCCAACATGGCCAACGCGGGCTCTATCCTACAAGTTCCCCAGGAAGGGCAATTTGGCCATAGACGGAGGAGGTGGTGAGGGATCTTGCCAGTTTACATGTGTCGTTGCCGCAGGATATGAATAATTCTGTTGACACGTCATCAAATCCGATGGTGCGTTAGTAACCCGCAGAGAGAGGATAACGGAGTCGGTACATGGGGGGGTGGCGAGGGGGAGGGTCACTTGGGAGTGGGGGTAAGAAAGTTTCCATCCATGCTACCGTGTCCGGCAGCTCTTGATATCTTACTACAATGCGATGTATGTGGGGAAATCGGCTTCCGCTATGGGGGAGAGAAGCGAGATAGTCGGGATAGAGGGTTGGGAAGGTGCGGAGCAGGGCCATGCATAACTGATCATAGTTCGCACATGCGGGGACTGTCCCTGTGATCATGCAGTAGACTCCGACCATGTTATGTCCCCACCATGCAACACTGAAAAGAAGAACGTGGAGGGAAAAAGAGGGAATGGCGCATCTAGTGGTGGAATTGCGGATACACTGTGACAGCGAGGCGAGTGGCGTAAAGGTGTCGGAAGGTGGAAGGCGGGAAGGGGTTGCGAGGGAAGGAGAGACAGGTATCGATCTGCCGGAGGGTTAAAAAATCAAGGGGACGACGGGATAATGACTGGGGACGTAGCCCGATGCCCCGCATCGCCACGTGTTCGAACTGAGGGACGGGGGGAAGGGGAGGGGGATCGGCTTCGTCGCCTCCGCGCCGGCACGCTCGAGGTCTCCGCAGAAGGGAGCTCATCCTCAATTGCGGGCGGCTCGGTATCTCTGGTCGGGTCGTCTGGGATTGGCAAATTAAAGCCGCTGAAATGCTCCAACGACCGCTTCCCCACCGCTATCTCTTCCCTCCTTCGCGCGGCTGCTGTGGGATCTTTTTCTCGGACTTCCGCCTGGTCCATCTCTCCTCCCAAACTTTCCCACTCGGACTCCTCCTCTTCTTCTTCTTCTGCTTCTTCTTCTTCTTCTTCTTCTTCTACTTCTTCTTCACTCTCCGCCCCCGGCTCTTCCTCGCTGTATTCGCTATAGCTTCCCTCTTCCTCAAAGGTCTCTTCGTCCCTTTGTCCTAAACCTACACTTCCTCCACCACTGCTTCCTCCTCCTCCGCCGTTCGAGGCTGAAAGAATAGGACGTCGATTATCCCCCGGGGGTTCAGATACTCCGCGCGCAATGGGTAGCTACCACCTCCCTCCCAGTCCTCCAGACAAACCTACCAATGCAAGTACGATGTTAAACTCCACGAAAGTACGTGCGGCGCTGCATTCTCGTCGCAATGTTAGATGATGTCGATTGGGAGATCGTCAAGCAGCTGCGTGAAGGGGACCAAGAGCTCCCACACAATCGTTTGCCGATGTCCTGGGTCCACCGTCCCGAAGAGGAATCCGAGAAGGTCTCCCTCCACCTCTGATCTCCTAGCTTGGATAACAAGCAGCTCCACAGTGTCGTTCTCGGTGCGGTGCTGACTGTCCTGAGTCCACGTCAGCTCAATCTCGAGTAGGCAAAAAGAGAGAGTGGAGTAATTTTCACACCATATCTCCCACTGCGATGGCTTGATGAGCGGAACCGTAAGCGGCCGCACGCAGAAGGAGAGGCGGGGATGGAGGGCTGATTGCCAGAACGTGGGGAAGAAAGAGGGGAGGGTGAAGGTAGAGAATTGGGAACGGTTCATTGAGGGCGCGAGAAGGGGACAAGCGTAGGGAGAGCTACTGCTGGCTTGTGCCGGAGAGTGCAGATGCTGCCAGTATCAGCACTGTTGGTATTGGCGATGTTCTCTCCTCGGCACGCAAGTAGCTGGCTCCACACCTGCGCCAATTCCTCACCCCACTCCCTCAACGAGGTACGGATGGGCGTATGGGCTCTGGGATCCACCGTACTTAGATCCCCGTGGAAAAAAACGACTGTCGATATGTGACTGATACCCGACGCCTCGAGTCGCCGATAAGCCGATGCTTCGACCAGCACCCTCGCCCTGCTGTTGGGGACTACAAAACATCGGAAACGGAAGTCGACGCCGCGTGTACACCGTTGTGCTGAAGTACTGCGTGAATTGGAGAACGTCGGGGCTGATACGCGGATGATGGACTTGCCGGATCGTCGAAATGTTCCCTCGTGGTGCCAGCATACGTTCACTTAGAACCTGCTCCGTGGAAAAACTCATGGCGACAGGGAGGAAGAAGGTGAGTGGGAAGAAGAAAGAGAATGGGGATTGTCACTCTCCCACTTGGACTCCGAGATCGACCCAGTTGGCGAAGGGGGAGAAGAACGTGAGAGATGGCAGAGGTAGGATACGTGGCGGATGATCGGGCGAGCCGATCGGCTGCCTGAGAGGGTATGCACGCGCCCCTGCCTACATGTCGCTCCTCAACCGGGCCACCGCCATGTGCACGACCACTATGACCCTCCAAAAACAGTGCCTGATGTGGCACCACTGGCCCCACAGCAGTGCGAACCACCAAAGTCTGTGGCATATCCTGGCCGTCCGCGTCACGCCTCTCCAACTGTGCGCAATCTCCCCCGCCAGACGTGGACATCGGATCGGCCTGAGCAGGCACCCCCACCTCGCCAACACCAACGGCCCCCGCTACGGCCCCTCCCCCCAGTGCTGGCTGCTATCCCCTCTGCCTGTGCCGATGGGCGAATATCATCAACGCCCACTGACTGCCCCATCTCTATGTCCTCCAGACCCGGGGACATCTGCACGACACCCTCGACTGAACCCCTGGGCAGAGGAGTCTGAGGGACGGCCGTGACCTCGTGGAACGTCTCCTCGGGCCTCACCTGGACGGCAGGAGGCTGCACCGGCTCCGAACGTGTCTCCTCTGTCGGTGCCAATCCGCTCTCGTGCGTCCCCTGGCGAATATCTACTCCCGTGCTCAAAACCTCTGTTGAAGCTGCCTCCGGCTGCGGCATGTCGTGAACCTCTGCCGGAGGATCCGTGTGGGCAGCTGCCACTACGTCAACGGACGCCGGCGTAAAAGTCCCTAACTGCCTTTGTCGCTCCTCGGCTGCACGACGGGCGAGCTCCTGCGTCGTGGGGTCCCTCTGCGCCATGAGGCCAGCTCGACGGCTATCAAGCCTATCCAGCCTCTCTGCAGATGTCTCTCCAGGGGGTGTCCGGTCCTCATCCCCCTCTGGCCCCCGACATCACCTCTGCTCGCATGGCAGGGGAGAAACTACTCGGGTCTGCTAAGATGATCTGTCCCAACAACTCCTGCATACCCACACTGATGTCCCCACGGGACTTGCTCTCTCCTCGGGCCAGACCCACGCTCTCTCCCGGGGGCATACCCAAGTCACCAAACTCACTGAAACCGGCTCCGCCCCCCGTCATCGGTATCCGCTCATCACCAGCACTCCGAATCTCGTGCGCCTCAACCGCCGCAGCAACCTCTGCACCCCCTCCACCTCCGGCCAACGCACCACCATCTCTGCGAGCCAACCCCTCTCTATCTCCGTCGTCCCCTTGCACCGGTGAAGAACCGACCTCTAATCTGTCCTGCAATCGCTGTCTAGGGCCCCTCACCAATCTATGCAATCGATCATCCCCGGCTGGCTGTCGACGAAGCTGCTCCATCGAACTGGGAAGAGCGATGGTTGATGTCGTACCAGTACGAACACGCGCAGGACGATGGCCAATCCCCGACTCTGCCCCCCTCGAAGGTGCAGACCCAGGATCTCCCTTCCGCTCCAAGGACCGCGTGTCAGCGGACGTAGTCCTCTGACACTGTGAAGGGCTCTCGTGACGACCCCCAGACTCCTCCTCCAAGTCAACTCCAACGAAAAGGTCATCTCCGCCACTCCATCTTTGGACGTCCTCTGGGTCGCTCCACGCATCACGCTCATCCGCCGCAGGACCGGCGGTAGCGGGGCCCGCCGGCTCGTCCTCGTTGCCCTCGGAATCACTGTCGGCTCGAGGGTACAGGTGCAATGTGGCGGCTCGAGTACCAAAAACATCACCCACATCACCCGGAGGAGCTCTCGACCCACATGGGTCTCGCTGCCAAAAACATCTCTGCTCCTCGAGCTCCTCCCGCGCCCTGCTCTCGTCCGTCCCCTATCACGAGGGGCGAATCCCGATACCTCCCTCCACGTCCAACAACGACTCATCCAAAGTCCACGGCAGTGCAAACCCGTGGGCTGCCCGCTGATGAGAGAGAAGGCGGACGTTGGCTGAGATCTTAACCAACTTCGCGACCTTCTCGAACTGAAGCCGGTTACGCTTCTTCGTCTGTACACCCTCGTGGACGGCCCAATTCCTCTCTGCAGGAGAGGAGCACGTCCACATGTACATCACACGAAGAGCGATAACCTGCAACTGTGGGGCGCACTGCCCGTACCTCGACCACCAACACCCGGACTCGTACGTCTCCGCAATGCCCGTGCACCTCTGTGCATCTCTGTCTCCGTCCCTCCCCCCCCAAGCAATCGTCCCCCTCCGTGTGTGGAAGTCGCGCAACTGCGCACATGCGGTCTCGTAGTCAGGGCTCGACACACTGAACCCTGTCTGCGACAAGATGTAAGTCTCCGCCCCCCTCACCAAACTGGCGTCGTAGTCGCTGACAACGCCCTCGAAGTACCGCAAGTCCCGGCGGTTGGGACTGAGAAGGTGAGCAGCGGCGTGCGCCGGCTCCAACATGTGGGCGCATCGGGCCTGCACCCTCTGCACAATGTGGTGTGCAAGATCGGTCGGAAGTGCACAAACCTCCTCTGCTACCTGGCGGGCCAGATCCTGTGTCCACTGAATAACCCACGATATGTGCAGCCCTCCACGGTCCAACCTGCGCGGCAGGTCGTACACGGGCTCCATGACACGGAACAAGATGGCCATGGAATCCCACCAGCTGCCATGCCGCACATGCCACCTCACCCACCTAGCCAAGTGAGGAACGGAATGGTCCCAAGGGACCATACCCCAAGTGTCGCCATCCACCATCCTCTCCAATGCTGACCTCACTACCAGCAAACGCTCCACCATCGCGAACACGGATGCGAAACGTGTCTCGCAAGGATAAATGAGGCCCATCTGCCTGCTCTCCCCCCGGAAAATATGGAGAGCGGCGCCGTGCTCCTTAATGAAGCGCACCACCGCTCTCCCCCTCATGACGATGTCCTTGGACTACGTGCCCGAACAGCCAATGTCTGACAACATCTTGTTGTAGACATGCACTCGCATGGGAGCCACGTGATCCGTCGATGCTCTGGCCTCTGCTCGGGCCCCTAGAGCATGTTCGCCGCGGTGACGTACGCCGAGGCGGAGTCGGTGCAGATGGCGTTCACCCACTTTGGGGGGAAGTCATCGAACACCTTGATCCAGCGCGCCAACACATCAGGCGCGCTATCCCGCTCACCCTCCCTATTCATCGTCCGGACGAGCATCACCCCATGCGACCCGCCGGCAAGGAAGTTAACGATGGGTCTAGCATCGCGTGACTTCCTTCCGTCCGACATAATGGTGGCCCCCGTGACATAGAAAGGAGCCCTGACCTCCGCAAGATCAGCTCCCACATCGTCCGCCGTGTGGACACTGATCTCTATGTCCGCAATCTCATTCTGTGAAGGCCATAACACCTTCACTGGCCCCGGCAATTCCTTGAAGTGCCGGACTACGTCCAACCACGGCTCGCTCCGGAAGACGTTGAACGCCAGGCGCTGACTATACACAAACCGCAGCCACTTCTTCTTGAACTCCATCTGCCACTTTGAAGAGAATGACTCCGGGATAGTGTTTTGCCTCAGCCTCGCTCCCTCCCTGATGGCCCTGCCCGCGCAACCTCCTCGACGTCGTCGTGCACGTCGATCTGCTCCTCCGCGTCCCTCGTCTCTCCCTCCCCCCCCTCGTCCCGTCACGGATTCATTGCATGCGTCGGACCGTGGAGCTCCTCAAACTGCTGGATCCGTTATAGGAACTTGTCGGACATCTTGTACTCACTGTTGTAGTGGATGTCGACAAGTGCCTCGTCGGTCACTTCAGGACATCCCTTGCCTTGGCGGAAATGGCGCGGCGCCACAAACTGGTTGCCTTGGAACTCGTGGCCGCAGAAATTGCACTTCAGCATTCGATTGCCGCGAAATCTCTCGCCAAGACTCTGCCCGACGCGGATGTACTTGTACACTCAGCATTTCTTCTGCGCCTTTAGATTCTCATCCTCCCCCCCATTCTCAAACACCCTGGACTGACTTTGCGGCATCGTGCCCGCTCGCCGATGGCTGTACGAACTCCCGCCGACCTCCCTCCCTCCCCGCACAAGGCCTCGTCGGCCCAGTGCCCACCACCCAGTGGGCCCTGTCACGTCGCCCACACACCCCGCACGTCCTCGAAACCCCCCATCCCACCAGCGACAGGGCGCAGCCCGCCGAAACGAACGCCTAGAATGCGCGTTCAAAAAGACTGACCGCGCGTTCTTTAAACGCGAACGCAAGTTAAAAAAGAATGAACGCGCGTTCAAAATTTAGTTCCGCAGCGTGCCATGACCATCTCCGTCGGCGCTCCGCGTCGTCGTCATCGCTGTCCGTTGCCGCTGCGCTCCGTCGCCATCCGCGCGCGCCTCCGCCACGTCGACTTCTCTTTCTCTCTCTCTCTCTCTCTCTCTCTCTCTCTCTCTCTCTCTCTCTCTCTCTCTCTCTCACACACACACACACACACACACACACACAC